CAAAAGCAGTGGGAACTCAGGCCACTGCTGTGATCTAAACAGAACAGATTTGCCTTTGCCTTTGAGTTTAAGCTACAGGGGGTACGTGGTAAGATGACTAATACTGTATCTATTTTCAGTCCTGTTACCTGGGTAATGGTAATTTTATTTTGTTCTTTTACTTCAGCGATTACGAAAAGGCATTCTACTTTAAACTAAGCTTTAAGTTCCCAAGCAAACTGTTTAGTTTTTTCCCGTTAGTATCATTTCACTAATTAGCAAGATTAGTCTTAATAGAGGACAGATATGAGAAATCAAGAGATGCTACTTTTTTTCCAGGCTAGAAACTCCCTTCTAACTTGCTCTTGCTTTTGCCCATGTTACTAGGGGTCAATTCCTCCCATTGTTGTAGCTTTGACCATTGCGACTAGCGGCAAATGCTAACCTATTTAGCTTTGAAGGTCTCCTGTTTTTTTTCCTGCTTAGTACAAAAATAATACGGTCGGATGAAGTTAGCTGTCATTAGCAGGACTTGGATTTCATATCAAACTTTTAACAGTCAAAGCTATCAGTAATTTCAGAAGGATCCCAGGTTTGCTAGATAACACTTATTAGTAAAGTACACTGTTGGTTTAGTACCTATTAGCAGCTATTTAAAAAAAAAAAAAAAAAACACCTTCCTCCAGAATTGAAATTCACACAAATAACCAAAGTTGCAAAAATTCAGTGGAAATTCATCATTAGCTTCCATTCTTCTAACGTGAATAATTAACAATTCTTTTCTGGAATTTAAGATAAACACTGCCTAAGATCCTCTCAGCAAACAACAGCAATTCAAAAGGTAGCTATCCTCGAACTCCAGCAAAAGATACAAAATGAGAACCTAAGCAATACAGGCCGTTAGCGTTAACACCTGCAAACGTTAGCAATGCAACTGTGTGGAAGCCACAGAATCTGCATTTGCACTTCTAAAAAGGGAGGGCCAGAAAACAGAATGTTGTTTTGGACTCATTTTAGTCCCTTGCTTATGTGAAAGCAAGATGCTTCATACAAGATAATTTCCTGTAAGGATCTTCCTAATTTTGGTATCTTGGGATGGAAGGAGGGAAGAGAGAACTTTTTACACAAAAAAAGAACAAACACCACAGTGAAGAACATCCGGCAAGATACCAGAAGGTTTGTTAACAAAGGGGTTTTCACCAGGAGAACCACCTCTATAATGAAATAAGCTAAACCGAAGCAGAAAAGATAGGAAGATTACATGAGATGAACGGGCAAAGACTTAAGAGTTGCTATCTGGTCCTGGCAGATACGTCAGCTGCATATCATATCATTATCAGCAATGGTAGGCTCTTTGACAAATTAACATCACTGTGCTTGGCTGGTTAGGAATAATCAGCAAATTTGTCTATATCATATGCAAGCCCTAAACATGCCAATGGACAACTGCAGATTTCCTATGCCTGGCATCATATTGCTTTCCTTCGAATCTCACTATCTTCACTTACATTAAAAAATCTTCTGAACCCTGAGCAGTCCATCCACTGAGCTCTGAAGTATGTGTGTGCAGGGAGGGACAGAATTCCTCCTACCTTTTGGCAAGCGACCGTGTCAGAGTTCAGGCCCTCAATGGCTGGTTTTGCAGCCTGTAAGTAACAAGCAGCAATTTCTTCCCCTCTTGCCTAAGGGGTTCCTGAGTAGATCTCTGAGCAGGAAAGACTGGCTGTCAGAAGGGAGAGATGTGGAAAGCGCTCTATCTGGAACAAGTACAGTATGATTCCTGTTCTTCCTTCCACATGGATTAATGACAGAGAAATACTTGAGGGCTTTCTTTTCAGAGGTGAAATTGCTCCTTGGCAATACTCTGCAGAGACAAGTGCACACATTGGATTATAGACACGTTTATAGTTTCAGCTTGCGTTTTATGGCAAATGATTCCTTGACACTTTGCTGTTCTATCATAGCAGCAAAGCTGATGAAAAGGTGAATCCAGACTGGAAGTAGATCTACTCTTTAAATTAAGACTGTGGAGCTCCTTTTCCTGGAGAACCTAACTGCTGGCATTTTTCACAAATCTGTGTCAAAGTGGCATGTAATATAGGGATTCCTTCCTCATATCCCTGAGCTTGTAGGGAGCAAATTTCTTCAACAAGAGCTATTTTAGCATTGTGTCCCTGCTCTCAGCAGGATCACAAAGCAATGGTCAAGGTTGGAGTCTGATCAAGCCATGATTAAACTAAAGCTTCCACAAGCAGAAAGAAATTCTAGGAAATTGTGCATCCAGAAATCTTACTGGACTTAGGAGAGAAATCTTCTTGCTTTTTTGGTATTAAGAAGATCTTGACATCTATTTTCAATCTTTTTCCTTTCCACTTTAATTCTTCAGTTTTTTGACCTTGCATGCACACTTTTGTGCTGAGTATTACATTCCCCATCTGGTTAGCCCTGTTAAGTATTCATTGAAGGTCAGATCAGAGGAGGAAACCAGGAATGCAAACAAGAGATGTTTCCAGGACTGTAGAACTCCTACCTACAGTTAAAAACACATGGTAAGCAGATCTCAAACCTCTCAGAGCTTTACTTTTATTATGGAAGACAAACATCTGAAAGAGTAATGTAAACAAGGAACAGTCTAGCCTAGGAAACTGTGTAATTACACCATCCTACATGTTTTGCGTGCGTGGAATGTTCTAAAACGTTCATGCTGAAGCCACTGGAGAGTGTTGTTATTTTTTACAACTCTGAAATTGGCTACTATCTGCTGATGTCGATGCCGAAACATTATGACACCTCAAAATATGTGACATGCAATCTAAAAGGATTATATTACTAATAAATTCTCTTCTGTTTTAATCTTCCAAAAGGAGTCACCACATAACATGGACTTGTAGGAAGGATTTTAAGCCCATGCCTTAAAAGTCATTTCCAAGAAGAAAAACCCAGAAGACCTCTTGTATGGGAAAGACTTTCACAAACGCCTCCTTTCGCATTCCTGAATTTTTCTCTGGTACAGGGTCAATACCAGAGACAAGATCTGCAGGGGCTGAAATCAGAAGCCTGCCTCTCGGGAATTAGGAACAAACATAGCTAGAGAACAAAGACAACTGCATCTTTTCTGCATCTTTTTTGAAAATCAAGGTCTAGAAAATAATTCATCTTCTGAGGTAAAATTCCTGTGAACGGGGCCTAAAAACTGTTTTTGGAGGTTTCTTAAACTTTGCAAGTAAGGTCTCTTTAAGAACTAAGGATTTTTCCTCTCCAGTGTCTAATAGAAAGTGAAGACAATAAAGTGACTATATTAAGGGTAGCACTGCGCAAAATGGCGTTAAAAGGCGCCAATTTTTGATCCCCTCTCAGATTTCATTTACAGTAACCAACTGTATTATTTGCAACAAGTTACAATGTTTTTGCAGATGAAATAAATTATTTTTTAAGATGGTCTGTGCTTTTATGCATACGATATGCTTGAGTTTGAGTCCTACAGCAGAGAATACGTATCTCCAAAGTCTTTTTATTTCAGGGATATGAGACGAAAAAATTCTTTCAACTCCTCTTACCCGAGTGAGAATTTATATAATCTGGGATTCAGCCATTACAGATGCTTGACTCCAGCAGACTGACTGAACATGCTGAAAACATTTTACAGGTAACATAGTTACGTTAACAATCATATCCTCTGTCCAAAATATCATGACATCTGTTGTAGTCTTACATTGAAGCAACAAAATCCATATGCTCTTTTGTTTTAAAAAGACATTTTTCCACAGGGAGGGTTGTTTCTATGGTTCAACTTCTAGTTCTGCAACATATTATATTAATGTTGAAAAAGTCACTAAATTTTTCTTCGAGTTGTGTGGCAGGAATAAAATGTAAAACATGCTTGTGTTACCTTGCAGAATGTTGCGAGGATGAACATTTTCTGCCTTCTTGCAAACTTCAGCCAATGTGGATCACTGAAATGCCAATCCATGCAAGCAGATTGGACCTGGATCCCATAAAGACTCATGAGAGGCACTGAATCATACAGTGATCACTTGAATCATATTCAGTGTAGGTGGTACAAGGTTCACTGTACTGCACTGCACCAACGTGACTGAGATCCTATACAGCATGAAGGCAGCATAAGGCACTGAGGTAAGTCATAGCTTGGCCCCATGGCTAAACTACAAATGAGGATTTCAGCCTGACACTGTGTAAAATAAAAGCACATGTGGACTTAATTTAACATTGTATTCTGTCACTGTAGTATTCACCACCATCAAACCATACTACCACATAAAAACTTAGGTATCCATAAACACATAGGTAACAAGACTATCACCTTTAGAGGATTTTATTCGGATAGAAATCTTTTTCAGTTTTACCTGAGGGATTTATATTTAAGTTTTGCTAGTGCCATTGCTGTGGATTGGTCACTTTGCCTGAAAAAAAAAAAAAAAGTTTCCCATTTCTGAAAGTTCTGTGCCTGTCAAGAAAACATGATTCATTTCGGTATCGATCCCGCACAGTGGCAGGGCCCATCAGCACCTGAGGTGGAGACATAGCACTCTAGGTAGGATTCTTACTATAACTCCATATGGTGTTTTACTGCTAATGAACACACAAAGAGCTTTTAGAGAGTGCCCGTCTCTTATCTACTTTGGCACCCACCCAGTTATACCTTTGGAGTACCCCTCTCCCCTCACTGGTATGACCATGTCCAATTTTAACAGTCAAGGAATAACAGCCTTTGACCTGCTTTGTTTTCTCTTGAGCAATCTCTCACTTGCTGATATCTACTCTACGGCCCAATTACAAAGGTCAGTAGCTCAAGGTGTATGAACAAGTGTATCCTACCACAACCTTACTTTTAACATGTGTTGGAGTCTTTATGTCTTTATCAGTTTTGGTTACATATACAATATTAAAAAAAAAAAAAAAAAGGCTGCAAGAACACCCGTTCTTTGTACTTTCAAGGACACCCCAGAACACTACCCTCCCATCTCTACCCTCCAAATTTACAAATTTACTCAAATACAATGTCCACAAAGAAGATGGTTTATTAGACTAAATGATCTAATGTTTAGACGCCATATTTGTATTAACAATGCTGTTGCAGATGTACATAAAGTGACACATATGTTTTCTTCTTCTGCCTGTAATTAAATCTAAGCACAGGAAACAAAAGAAAAAAAAGACATTTGATGCTTTCCAAGTCACAAAGCTTTGATAGACTGTAAAAGATTTTGCATACTCCTTATTTTTAAATATAATTTTAACCTTCTTCCTTGCTGGACTGATTTTGTGCTTTTTAGTTCTCTTGAAGCTATAAAGAATCATATACTATTAGAGCTTGAGAAGTACAAAATTGATCAGATTCGTAACAAAAATGTAGAGAGACACCCATTACAAAATATTGTCCTTTAAAAGGTAGAACACATCAACTCCACCCTAAATTTAACTCTGAACATGATTGGCAGCTACAGAGTTGGAATAAAATTATGAAAAAAAACTATGAAGTGACATTAAACCAGTTAAACCAGTTAGATCAGTTCTTCTTTTTTTTTCCCCCTACAGATACTTCTCTCCTTACAGTACCATTGTGTCCGTGCGCTAGGTATCCCAGATGCTGCATTTATTTCTCCGTTTTTTTTTTTTTTTTTTAATCTTCAATGTTTACTGGAATTTTCGCTACCCAAATGTTCTGGGTAATTTACTATATTTAATCTAACAATGCAGATTAAACTGCATTGACAATGCTGGCAATTCTGTTCTTAACGTTGCTCTGCATGAAACTCCAGACACCACTGAAGACAATACACACTACTCATGCATATTTACAAAATGTTCCACCAGTATCATGGCACAGACACGGTATGCTTGAATCCCAAAAAGCAATTACATCACTACAACTTTAGTTAAACACTCACTGCCATTTCTGCCTGCTTCATTTAGCACTGTGGGTGACAAAATATTTGGACAAGCAACCGGTCAAAGGATCCACAACCAACAGAAAAAGATCCAGACAGCTATTTAAATACATTTCCATTGCAGGTTATCAAAACAAAACAAAAATAAAACTAAATCAAACCAAACCAAACCCCCTAAACCAACCCCAAATGCATCCGGATCCTGGACTTTTCTAAGCACACCAGATCCACCTACTGATTGTTTGCATCTATATCCTTGGAGGAATACTGCATCTTCAACATAATGCATTAACAACCATGCACATACAAATGCTTTTATGCATATTTCACGAGAAACTTCTTACCCACAATACAAGATAAACAGCACAACATATTGAACAGTCCTTGTTAAATCCTACTTACCGTTTTCTTGTCAGGAAAAAAACATGATAATATACAATGAGATTAAAAAAAATAAACAATAACTGCTCAGACAGCAAATATTACTAATTTTATCAGATGCATTCTCCAGAGTTCTTTACTGATCAATCACATCAATACAAACTGAAATGAACCCTACTGAAATTCAGTCCTTCATTCTGAATGAGCAATGACAACGGCAAAATGACTTTTTAACACTCTCATGGCAGTACCACAAGCCAAGGACTGTCATGAACTCAGAGGAAGAACTGGCATGGATTAGAACTGAGCAACCGAGACTAGTTAGCAATCTGCAAGTACACAAGTATTTTTGAATAAATTCTAGATGAACTATGAAGGAGCAGTTTCAATCCAGTTGCTGATGGGAAGCCTTGTGGCACAGGACAGTAGGATTCAAAGACTGGTAAAAAATAATATGCAAGTATGTAAACATATTATGTTACACGTTTTAATGTTGCTGAATGAAGTAGTTAAATATTTACCAGTTATCACAAGAAAAGATAATGATAAAGGCCTACTCCTCTTTATAGGATCCCAGAAGTAACCAGTGGAAAACTTAATGAACAGCTTTGCTCTGGAACCAGGTTGCGCTTTTGAGGCTGAGCTCTAATGTAGAGGTCTGCTGCAAAGCCATTGTGTTATTGGCATAAGCAAGTCTTTTAAGTACTTACTACACCATATCAAACAAGATTTTGTTTACATTTGCTCTTCCCTTCCTCACAGTTCCCCCTCAGAATATATTAATGGTCTGTTACAGAAGTATATCTCATTTTTTACCAAAGAAGCAAAGAAAAAACAAACCATGCATAGCAGTAATAAAAATATCTAAATAAAAACTTAATACAAGGAAATGCTGCAGAAAGAATTCTTCTGGTTTTACATCAAAACCAAAACCAAGTTGTTTGGGCTGTAAAGTTTTACCCTGTATTGAGAGACACTGAAGCTCTTAGAGAGATGCATATCATAACCAAAGTTGCACTACACTGATCTAGCTCATTTTCCTACAATCAGAGGTTCATTCAGTGAATGAGATGTGAGCTCTGCTAAAATATGGTGACACCAGCTGCTAAAGAAAAGCCTAACTTCAGTTACAGTATAGAGAAGAAGCCAGCTTACATTATGATAAGTGTAAGTCAGCTTTGGCACTTGTGTTGCTATGAATAATGTGGTGTGCGTGTTTTCAACCAGAAGGCAACCAACCGTGAAGGTTTACTTGTATTAGGGATCACCTGAGCAGCTAGGCATTTCTTATCCCAGGAAATCTTTCCTTACTATCTGTAGAACTACCCAAGTTCAGCTGTCCTTACACTGAGACACTAGGTAATCACTCTTTTCAGAAGAAGAATAAACAGGATGTCAAGGGTGACATGGGAAAAATGTTGAGGTAAAATTTTAAAATACATGAACAACTAGTAGGTTTAAAATCTACATTGTCTTCTTTCTTTTTAATATCCATTCTATGAAAGACAGTTAAATAGCATGAAGTGCAAGTTTTCATAAACTGGCTCAAAAAAAAAAAAAATCCCCAGAACAATCTAGCCCTGAAAACTCTTTAATTCAGTGAACAAGTCTCTTGGGAATGACATGGACAGAGACCATACCTTTTGTAGACCAAACCTGAGCAGAGATTGGATTGTTTTCCTTTTCTTTTGCTTCTTTTTTAGACAAAAGTATTTCAAGATACAGTTGAAGTGGTGTCAAAACAGCAATGTACCAGGTCACAATCAGAACCTTGTATATACAATTCATATTAACTTAAAAAAATAAAAAAGTTCAAAATACCTCCAGAGAATATTCTAGGTTAGCGAAATGTCCTGTACAAAAGTAGGCCAGTTCTGTTGTTCTGTTGGTTTAAAAGAAGTCCATAGCAGTTGGTCTCTTCTTAGTTGGTATAGTAAACAGTTTCTTCACTTGAGGCTCTCCTGCTGGGGTACCTGTGGGTGACTTCAGCACCCCATGAGGGGGTTTCTGCTCAGGATTGAAAGCCACACGGGAGGGTCCTTCTGGGCTCACTAAGATACTTTTGTCAGTCTTTTTAAATTCTGTTGAAAAATGAGCAAACAAGTTAAAGAAATAAAATTCCTGGAATAACTGGGCCCAGCAATGAACTGCGGAGTTGCCCAACCCAGGAAATCTGCTTTGGATCTCTAAGTCCATCACTAAAGATGAAAAACCTAAGATACTGAGAAAAATGGATATGGAGTGGTGAAACGAATCTCTTAGCAGAGCCCCTTTGAGAATGAGGTCTGTTGCAAACCACAGAGGGGCTGTGAACTGTTATTCCCCAGGTTTCACAGACCACTGGAGACTCTTGGCCTGCTCCTCAGAAACAAGTGTTGTAGGTATCCTGAGCAGCATCATACTTTGCTTTGAAAGAAGATGATGGATAAGAAGCAGCCTATTCTTACTCTTAAACAGCATGGTTCTGGACGCTCATGGTTATCACCTCTGCCAGCAGAGAAGTGTTTCTGTTCTCTTTGTGCAGCTGTGTTATGCTAACATAAATAACATATATATGAAAAACCTGCTACTCTCCATTTGAATATGGCCTATAGCACACCTCAGAGAGGAAAAAAAATAACTAAATGACTAAAAGTAAATAAATGCATTGCTATAAATGCATTGCGTAGACATTTAAGAGGGAAAACACTATGTGCTTACATGTGGGATCCAGAGTGGGACTAATATTTACGCATTGCTATCATAAATCAGAGGCAGCCAAGATAAAACTGGAAATTCACTATGATATAGCCGGAGATCATCGGCACATCAGCATCTTTATGCTGGGAAAGAGAAGTGAGCAGTAAAGAATGTGAAGTACACGTTTCCCTAAGAGGCACCCACCCTGCAGAACAAGAGGCTCAGGACAGGGAGTTTGAAAACACAATGCAACAGAGTGCAATCTGTAGGGCTCCATCTGCGAGTCAATAATGAAAAACCTTGGAATCTTGCATGTCTTGCTTTTGGAAAGAATGTCCTAAATTTCAGTGTCTACCCTGGCCTGGGACTTGGGGATGATTTATAAACTATACACAACTACATATTCTGACAAAATGAGATCAGAATCATTCTGTTCTAGACAGATGGAGAGTACGTGTGTGTGAGTGTATAAGCTTTCCCTCTTTTCATGCTATGAGAAAGAACGTGTGAAGAAATGCAGATGTCAGACTCACCAGCAGTCATGTTTTTATTCAAGCCAAAGGTGACTTTTTTGGAGACAGATGATTGCAGCTTATTCAACTATGAAGCAAAATAAAGACAGCAAATAAAGTTAGATTTCTGTAGCAATACTATGAGCTCTTTTACCTGCACCCCATCAAAACTGACGTAAAGCAGCCTAACTTTTTCCACTTGATTTAGAATCCCTCCAATCCTCTAGTGCCGACGTACTGGCCCTTCCAGAAGGACAGACAGCACTGTCTTTCTAGCCAAAAGCAAACGCATTCCATTTGTAGAGAAATCGCATGCTCTCCCTAAGGTCATTTTGTAATTCGACAACAAATGAGAAGATATTAGTGTATTCAACACACTGGCCCCACTGCACTCGTGCCTCCAAGTGCAAAGAGGGCTTGCAAAGGTATTATATGTTAGGAAGGTTTAGAAAGGGGGTAGTCTTTTGAAAGCCCTGTACTGTTACCATTCTCCACAAATGGGAAGAAACGGAAGCTCAAAGTCCCTTAGCAGGGCTGAAAACTATTTTATCCTTTTGTTTTTTCGTGAAATGAGCAGTTTCAGAGTGGTGTCCCTTGAACAGAAAGCTATTTTTTAAAGGAGGAGAGGGGGAGAAGGGTTTTTAAAGATGCATCCAGCTTATTTTCCGAGACTCTGGAGCCATGTGTGACTCTGCAAGGAAACCCAACAAGATTTCCAGTTTTCCGTGTCTGTGTTAGGAGACTAATACAGAGCGAAAAAGAGAGCATGAACGAGGCCATGCACTCAGATGCGGCAGGGAAGAGAGGTCAGCAGCCAGGCTCTGCCCAAGCCCACAAGTGTGAACTTTCACGTGGCATCTGTGGAATCACATTACCTGCATGGAGGCCCTGGTGGAAGAGATGGTGCCTTTGGCTTTCCTGAAGAACACTGGCTTTGGTAAAGTTGATTTTTCAAATTTAACGAAATCACTCCCTGTTTTTGCTTTCTTTTTTTTTAATGGTGATAGAACAGTGCTGGTTTCCTGTAAAGGAAGAAGTGAAGAAGTCTTCTCAGTACAAAGTACAGTAGCTAGCTATACCCAGTATAGTGATCAAGGCTCAGAGCTTACCATCCATGGCTTCACCACTGCTGAGAGCTAGCTGGTACTCACATGTGCTAACCGCCATTTAAGTCTTAGGAATTAATTTTGCAGTAAGCATGACTGAAATCACATATTTACTTTTCTTCCTATTTCAGCACATTTCTTCCTGCGCTGGAATAGGGAGGTCATCGCAAAGCAAGGAAGGAGGAACTTTTAGAACACTTGCATGGCCAATCAAGAGGGCAAACAAAACTGTTTTCTTCATGCACACAAGGCTGCCTTACAATCACCTCAGCTTTCCTGCACACAAGTGCTGATGTTTCTTTTCTGTCTTTAGGCAAGATCTCTTCTGCACTACCTCCGGATGGATAAGACAAATGAACGAATTCAGCTTTAGACTGGGAAGGAGACTTTAAAAAGGTTACGTAGAGTATGAGGTTTGTGTACACTCTCAGAAAACGAGCTAACGTATGTTGCTACCAGTTTGCTGCCCTCTCCTCAGATTCATACCAACTATTGTTATTTAAGGCAATGCTTTTCCCCAGCACAAGACAATTCTCAGGACCTGTACTGGCAGTGCAAGAAATGAAATACACTGCTCCAGTGCTTTCCAGTCTGCGGTCTGTAGGCCCTCATATCTGTGGGCTATTGTGAAGTGAAGTTCATCTATGCTTTACTGCAATCTATAGATGAGAAATTCCTAAAGCAGCCTGCATCCATGTTTTGCAAAATGTCCCGAGCATATAGATTCTTTCAATTTGAAAATCACTTCTGCTTTAAATAAAGCACAAGTGTCTTAGCTTGATTAGCTCGGCCTGAATTCTGGAGCCAAACGTGAAATAGTGCTGAACTTGTCTGATTTTTCTCCTTTTCCCCCCCAATATTTGAAGCTAATTCTTTGGGTGGGTGCGCTGTCTTGTGAAATCCAGAATCAAAACATGCCCTGCATGTTTTCTGGGCAAGACATCAACAGTATGCAACTAAAACCAAGACATAAAACAAATGCATTATTTCTCAAGCAATGAAAAATTAACAAAACCTAATTTCCTCCATATTTGTATGTTTTAACCTCCTCCCTGCTCCTTTTTTCCTTGCACCAATACTCTCTGACCTAAATAACTTCCAGCTTTTTCTCCATGTCTCCAACCCCCAACACACACGTACAAGCATGCACACATGCGCACAAGCATATGTGCGCATGCACACATGCACAGCTAGCCAGACTGGGCAAGAGGCAGCAAATCCTGTAACGTCTTTGAAGTTGCACCTAGAGAGGCTGGCCTGCTAGCCGATGTGCTTACTGGCCAGCCAGCCAACAGACAACTATTGGACTCATGCAGCAGCCCTTCCCTCAGCGGCTACGCTAATTTGTGCCAACAACTAATTTGCCACAAAGATTGCAGGAACTTGATCTTGAATCTACCACAGATCTTTGCAAGACTAGGCTGCAACTGGCCAACAGGTTCAAAAGGGATGGGGATGGCATAATCATAATTTCTTAGAAACTGAGCTTTTACAGATAAAGAAAGAAGTGATACGCAATATGGGATATTTGGGAAACAGGAGACAAAACTATCAGTTCACACTTTGGAAGCTCTGCAGTGAGAAAAAGGCTATTTGCATACTGGGGAGTGGGAAATGTTCTGTGTTTCTCCCTCTCAGTGCTTTATCATCAAAAACTAGAGAATGACAAAACTGTTTTAACACCACTTTGAGCAATGCTTCGAAACACATTTTTCACCCTTGGAGGGCGGAGCGGTTATATCAGGTTGATATACGAGTCTGCACTACTTAACTAGCCATATAGTTCTAAACTTAAGTCAAACAGAGGTGAGTTGATAGGCTGCTTACATAAACGTATTTGTGCAACCTGACTTTTCAGTCAGAGGAAGATTGAGATGTTTTATACATAGCATTTCATTTATGCTGTATGCAATTTCTTTGCACCAACATGAGAACGTCAGCAAGACTTCCAAGAATAACTGATCCCCTAAATGTACAGTAAATATGTACACTGAAAATGTACAACTAAAAGAATTTCAGTGACAGGAAAGGAAAGAACCCCTGCACTATCTCAGACACTCTACGAAAATATACTATGCAAAACGTTTTCCGGATGCACAAATTGCTGAGCGAAACCAAGCTGCTGCTTCTCATTGCCAAGAAGAAAATGAGGATGGTAGGTAGATGGGGGAAAAATCATAGCTTACTCCCAAACTTCAAGTCATTAATTTATGAAGAACACTACAATCAGAGCTTCATAGATAAAAGTATGGTCTTTCTAAGAATTTGGAACATTCATAAAAGTGAGCATGCAACGACTTAATGTCACCATACCGTATTCTTTGTTCCCTCTTCACCCAAATACTTCCCTCAGACAGCATTAATAGTTCCCTGAAGAGGGAGAAGTGAGCTAGTGAGAGAAACCACTATTTAAATTACAGAGGTAATTTCACAAGGCACTTATACTAATCTAAGTCTGTGCTGCTGCTGAAAAGGAGCAACTGATGTTCCATCTTCCCATTCCCATCTTTTTGCCAAAACATGCCCCTTGTGAACAGGCAGCGAGCTCAGTAAGAGATCTAATAAAAATGAAAAATTAACCCAGGAAAAAAATCCCCCAACCATTGTTTCAGCTAGATGAGCTCTTTTGGCTGAACAGCTGGCACATGCACAGGAAGGTGTAGAAATGTGGCTTTGGGCGTGGACTTCTGGGGAGCTGAGAGTCCATTTTTCTGGCCACAGCGCAGGATAACATCAGCACACAACCGGCTCATGAAGCCTCCTACTCACAAAGCTAAAGCCAAATTTGAAAACTGGCCTGGCAGTTCATAGAAAGGCAGAGAAAAATCAGACCTATCTACTTACCCCCTTCCTGCTTTTCTTGCATGCAGTCTCAAGACTTCCATTGGCTTCGACAGAGCTTAGCACCTCTTTTACTTTTCTCTTCTTTTTCAGGGTTGCTGCTTTCTGGCTGGAGACCTTGGTCCCTTCTAAACCACCCAGTGCTGTCTTTTGCTTCAATTTGACCTTTCCAGAGGGTGCAGATTCAGAGTCTGCATCTCCTGACAGGGTCCCCCGCAAGCTCTCCTTGTCAGATTTCACGTCAGTCTGCTGCAACAGGATATCACCATTCGTTAAGACAATCCCTGCTTTCTGTTTCTTTTTCTTAACCTTAGGAGTTAACAGTGTGACAGATGGGCTGGCATCCTCTGCCTCACTGGCATTAGCTGGTCCATTTTGACACACTGGCTTTACAGGAACATTCTGCGCTTTTGCATTCGTTTTCTTCAACTGAATCTTTTTATTCTGATCTGTGTCAGTTGGAGTGTCCTGCGCAGAGATATCACGATCATCTCTGGTCTCAGTTGCTATGTTTCTGGTCTCATTTGCCTCATTTACTAGGGACTTCTTTTTCTTCCTTCTCTTGTTATTTGCTGGCAACCGGTTGGAAATGTTAGATCCAGATGTTTCAGTCATCCCCTCCTCACAATTTCTGTCAGCTGTGCTAGAATCAGCGCTTGGACTGTCTCTCTTCTTCCTTTTTTTTCTCTTCTTCTGGGGAACTGATGCCTCCTTTGCACTTAATGTCTCTTTTTCATCCTTCTCTGAACCCACATCAAAAAAGAACATCATGTAATGCAGATGTAAAGACAAAGATACTTGCAGCAATTGAGTACTATTCTTTTTTTTTTTTAAATTGATGTACCATTTTCCCACTATCAGCCAATGCAACAGTTTTACTACCACAGCAGGCAAGAACTGTGCATTCCCCCCAAACCTTGGCCTTATTCATATTTTGCTCATCTTACCTCGTCACAGCTGACATCTAAGCCACACCCTTGGGTAGCCTTATTTTGTACAGTGATACTGTTGCAAAAAAGCTGTTATTATCAACTTGTTAAGCCAATCAGAAGGGCAACTCAGGTATTCAGTAGTTTTGTGAGATATTTTGGGTATGACTAGGCTCACGCTATGGCAGTAAAAGCCATGATACTAGAGACCCTTGCACGTGCTTCTCAGTAACTCTTTTCTGAGCCACTTTTCCAGAAACACTCCCAAATTCCTACATTATAATAGTAACCCTATTTCAAGGAGACTGACATGTTTCTGTTTACCTATAGTATATGGAATTGCTTGGTGAGGTAATGCAAACAACTGCTTCCAATTCTGCCTTTGACTGCTATTTCTGAGGTGATTCTCGCCTCAAAGTCAGTGACAAGATTTCCACCACTTTCAAAGAGACCTTAATTTTATGTTCCACCTTCACTGCTATGTGACACAAATCAGCACATCCTGAATAACAGGTTATGCCTTCTTTAAAATAGTTGACATCTGATACACTGCCAAATGACGCAAGTGGTTGCAGATCGCCTCTCTTGAAAGATCGGTCTTGTCTTACCTTTTACTTTTTCCAACTTGTTTTTCTCCAAAGGCTTGACAGTTTTTCTCTTTCGCCTTCCCCTACTGAATGTATCATCATCTTCATCTGTAGAAACATCTTCAGGGAAATCTTGGGGGAAGATTCCTGTTGAGGAGAAAGGAGAGGATATCTGAAAACCAATGGTATTTTCTATATTGCTGTTCGTCTACAGCACAACTCTCAGAAAGAAAATCAACTCCCCATTCAACCTAGTAGAAACTAACAGGAGTGATTCCTGATCAGTGTTTTTAAGTAAAAACAATCATCAGTCTTTTAAGGGCGAAGTACAGGGTACCTTGAATTGTGAAGGGAATCTGACCACCCCCACAAAAATGTGCAAGATGTGTCTTAATGAGGTTTGGAAAACAGACCCTGATCTCCTCAGAATACATGTTAAAAACAACGACGACGACATTTGCAATAGACATTGTACAGAGAGCATTACGTATCCGTTAACAGAAAGAAACTATTGTCTCTTTAGGATGCTCAGTCCTTACCTTCTGCTAAATCCTGGAACCTGGAGGCAGGGCCGGAGAGAGAAGAAAAAACAGAACAGTATTACTGCTTTAGAAACAATTACAACATTAGCAGCACAGTGCCACTGTACTACTTGTACTTTTGTCAAAACAGCAACAATACATTTTACCCAGGAAGTTATAAGGAGCTCATCCCAGGAGAGATCTGCCTCAAAAACCCAAAAGCTCAACTCAAACCACTGAAACAGTCTTGAGAAAAGAGTAGTTCAACACTTCTCTCCTATCTGCAATTTGTGTCACACACAGTCTCAGGTTGCATCCTGAGGTACAAATCTACCCAGTGTACATATACGTGAGCTAGCTGCAGTGTCTAGTAACAATAAGCAGCAGTAGCACAGGCTACAGATACCATATGCATGTTATCCAGGGCTGTGAGATAAGCCTGCCCCAATACCACCTGTACTTGAGCTCCCTAGCAGTTATCATGCACCACATACTACAGTCAACAGTACCTTGCTCCCATGGAAGGCAGCAAGTGTGGCTTGTCTGTTGAAGACACAGAGGCTAGTTTATTTTCAAACATTTGTAAGTAGATAGGACAAAATGGTTCTCAGTGCGTGGAACAAAAACCTAAAATTGGCATTGCTTCCAGAATTCCACAGAAAAAGGTACCCATATCAGATCTGCAAAATTCTAGGATAGAGAGCTTGTCCTCACAGGGAACGCTTACTTTTAAGCAAACATACTGGACAGTTAATAGCTGGAATACAGCCAAAAAGCTTCTCGCAAACTCCCTGACATTACTAGGACAAGAGACGACGGGCAGAAAATGAAGTCAATGCTGTTGAGGACAAGCTAGCACATGCAAGGTGTATTTCAAAATAACTCACTTTTTGACCAGCTTGTACAGACGCTTTCTGTTAAAGGCAGGTGTATTTTTCTTGCTCGCCAATTCAAAGAGTTTGTCAGCAACAGCTTTATAATCAAACTGTTGGAGGAAAGTATGATATGGCTTTTCTTAGTTAGCTTATCATGCAAGAGAATGCGATGCAACTGATGTTATAAACATCTCAAGTAGCATCTATATGTTGATAATTCTACTTCCTTTAAACCCACCATACTTGTTTTCTGCCAAAATGTACATCCCTTTCACAAATACATACTGACTTTTACAGATGGTTACTTCATTTAACAGAACCGTGGAATTCACTATCACTTTCCCAAACGCTCCTAACTTGAATTCTCATTCAACAGAGAAGCCAGTCAACATCAAAACTCTCCCAAATATTTAGTTAAATGCCAAATTTAAAGTATATTACGACCTAACTCTTGCTTAGAAGCCACAGAAGAAAGCTGAAGCATATCTGCTTGAATATATGCTTGCTCAGTGGATCCCTCAAAAACACTCCACTGCACTGTAGGTGGATCCAGAAGATACAAGTTACAATGCGTTGCTCTCTCTCCTGTGCGTGCCACCACACGCTACTTCTGCTCCTATTGTCAAAAACCTTATGCTAACTGCTGGCCCACCCAGAGCGTGATTTGGCTTTTGTCACATGTTTTTGAACTTCTGTAAACAGGAAGGAATGGTTGGGGGTGGGGAAAGGTATGGAGGAAGAAAGAAGAAATTAGAATTTAGACATGGATTTATTTTCTTATAAACTAGTCACAAGGAACACATTACATAAATACTACCTTATACTAAGGCAGAAGAAGATGAAATTTTCATAGTGTTATCTATCTTATTGTCTGATTAACACCCTTTATTTCTGTATCTTGTGAAAGTGACAGAAAAAAGAAAAGAGAACGAGTACATTAATAAAGAAAGCAAGCCACAAACCTGAAGAACAGGCCCAATACTGTCATCAGCATTTTCATAAACATCCTCTGAATTTTCAGAGCTCTGTGCCGATTTTCTCGACGAACTTCTGTCTGCTATTATAAAATAAAGACTGAATTTTAATGCTGAGTTTGTAGGAACGGAGATAGCACTATTCTCTGACAGGCAGAACATCAGGGGATTTTTCTTCATGCTATCTCTTGAGGCAAGACTTTTAGCTAATTTATGTCACCATTAAACTGAGAACAATTTTCAGGACCGTTATACAATACACAACTGTGGCATTATCCGGGGGTCTTCAAAATTACTGCATCCGTGCCAGAATACATCAGGATTGATAACCCTCCTGTCCAGCCCATTTTTCTACTCTGACAGAGAGCCAAAAACATTTGTTTAAAGTCTTGGATATCTGAGAGCCAGAAGCCAGACTGGATTATCTAGCACTGCTACAGAAAGCAGTCTGGCTTTATAGACACCACTATGACTTTTGTAACGTGTTCTTGTGAACTCACTTTGTTTGAATACACCTGAGAGGAAAAGAAAAAAAAATATAGCTGTCCCTACGCTGCCTCGAACATGTGCTTGGCTGGTTCAGAGAAGAAATTTTTCTTTCTTTAAGAGACGGAATAGATTTTTGAATCCCGCCCAATAGAAACAAGGCCATTTAAAAAGCTCCTGTTCATTTCCTATCACTTCCTCCTCACCTTTGGTTGTAAGCACCTCTTCATTTCCCTGTTCGTCTTCTTCAGACAGATCTTCCTCATCACTGTTGCTACTCAATTCTTTCATTAGGTCCTCAATGGCATAGGGTGACTGATCTACAATGACCTCAAAGATACCACTGGCCACAGCATGCATCAGGCGATGGCTGTGTTACAGGAGAACGGGGATGAGAGTAGAAAGGAAGAAACACACGCACCCTCCCTCCTCACATTTAAAAACTGGATGTTTCAGGGACATAGGGAAAGTGGGAAAGAAGGAAGGAAGGGGGAGACCATCTACTTTTCCACATGAGGAAAGTGAACTTGTTACATTCTACGCAGCAGTCCTTTAAATACAAATAATCATTGCTGAGCAGTGGTTCTGCCCATGTTCCCCTCTCAAGTTTCACTGTGTTACAGGCTGCTCTGAATTACAGCTGCAATAACAGAGACACTAACCAGCTCAGCTGTTCTATGCACATTAGAAGAAATAAATCAAACCAGTAGAGGTTAATAAGGTTCTTATAAATCTACAAAGTTTATCTATAGCTTTGATAAGCAAAAGTTATCTTGAAATGATTGTTCACATAGTTATTAGAACCTCCTTCTTTCTCTACATTATGATGTTATACTACGGCTTTTCTTCAGTCCATTTATTAGCATGTGGAGAGGTACGTGCAGAACTTCTTAATTCTTAGGAATATTTACCCTTTCAGTAAACTTACTCCTTTGATTTGGCAGCAATTTTGCAGAAAGGTTCAATGAACTTGAGATTCTGGTCAGCTGTGAGCTATATGATTAGAAAGAAAAAAAACAATGAATACCATAAATATTACACATCCACTCGAATTCCTTGAAGATTTGGTGTAAGAGGATCTTCTCTAAGAAGTTACGTCAACATCTTTCAGCATACTGTCTCATTCCAACTGACATGAGTATCCAGTGACTTTTGCTTACCACTCTTACTGCACCTTCCAGATCTTCCCTGGAAGCACTATAAAATGCTGACTGTTTTGCAAACTTTCACTTCCAGAGTACAGAAATATAATGAGGCTTCTTATCTGAGATACGGACAAGGGAGGCAGGAAAAAGTTAAATAAAGTGGTTCTCTTTCACAAAGAAGGCCTGTAGCACAGCTGTGAATAAGATCTGGGTTTCTCTTACCCTGCCAACTTGGACCAAAACCACTGTCAGCTACAGTAGTACTAAAGATCCTTCCCTAAACTCAACTTATGAGCATAGGCTGGGATTTCGAAATAGCCTGGGGGACTAAATTCCCTGGATCATTCTAAGTGGCTTAGTCGTGGCATAAAACTTCTATTACTACAAGGCTGCAGAAGCTATCAGGGTTCCAAGTACAGACACTTCTTTTGTGCAGACATCTTTTCCCCCACACTCCATAACCACAAAAACTGCAGGGCAGGACCACTTGCAGTAATGACTGCAAAGAACACAAATGGAAAACTGCCAGCAGTTCCTGCTCGAGATTTCATCAACTGCTAGGAGATGTGTTGGCAGCCCCAATCTCTTAGAGACAACTGAAGAGAAACAAGCAGAAGCCTGAACCTATGCACGCGTCGGGCAGCAGATAGCTCACTCTAGTGGAGTAACAGAATAAATACTCTCTGGAAGAAATTCAGCAGTTACAGCTGCAGCAACAGGCTATCAGCTGCAAAACTCTGCCACATTGTAAGGTCAGCCAAAATCAAGGGCAACTATTTTACAGGAAAAGATGGCAATCCAAAACAGAGAAAGACGAAAGGCACTGAGATCTTCGCATCAGCAAAATAAGTATCTGAATGAGAGGTAACTTGCTCAGTGCACAGATCGAAGCAACAATGAGCAGATATTGAAAGCTCACTTTCTCCCTCTATTTAGCATCAGCCAAGAGCAGGCTTGATGTCAGTATTTTGAAGGAAAAAAATCCACAAAAGCAAAGACTGGCAAACATGTTCACACAAAGGAAAAGAGACTGAGCCCTTTATTGACACAAACAAGTGAGAACGATAAAACTTTTCTATTTCCAACCTGAACTTGGATCAGCATACCCATGCTCACAAACCTAAGGGAAACTACTATATTCTCACTGTCTAAGCTAAGACATACACTTAAAAAGCAGACACAGACAAAAGTCAAAGCATAAATTGTAATAAGTCACTTTCTTCATGCTCATCCAAAGTTATGTTGTGTTTACAACTGTTTAATGTACATGATGCAAAAATTATATTTCTTCCAATATGATGCATGCCACATCTAAGTGAAGAGGATCAAGAAACAGAATTACAATGTGTGTTCTAACCTCCTTTGCGCCAACTTTAGACAATTCTTCCAGGTAGATATCAATGAAATGGAACTTTATCCCACTGGGAGCATCGCTGTCTGGGTCCATAACTTCTTTCATTAGCAGCTGCAGGAATGGTTCAATCAAACTGGGGAGGAAAAAAAAAGTCAAATTGTTCACTTCAATTGCCAAGGCTCTGTTTGCTTTAAACACAGAGTCAAGTCATTTACTTTTACCAGTTCCTTAAGATGGCTGTACACCACCTATAAGAAATAAAGGCAAGGTTCAGACAAACTCAGCTACCAATTTTCACATCTTTAAAAAAATATTCTACTCATCCAGTCAGAACTCCCCACAGTCTAGATGAATTCGTAACATCGGACAAGCCACTCAAAACAACTTTTTACACAGGAAATCTGCTAAGTTGAAGTTGCATGGTTTTAAAATTCACACCTTAATTTGGACTCAACTTAATTGTGCCATATAACTGACAAGCAGGCAAAAAGGCTTTTGCCATTTGAGCAGAGCATTCCTGAAGACACAGCCGCCCCATTCATCTGGATGGGCAGCACCCTCCACCCTCCCACTTTAAGAGATGATTTTTCTGGCACACATCCAGAAGTTAAGTTTAATACCAATCCTTCTCAAACTCGTTTCAACTGCGCAGGCTTTACCTTTGTTAAAGCACGTTACCCACTGTTCCACAGAACAAAGCAGTTGCATTAAATAACGTACTGAGGGCTAGGTCCGGAGTACAAAATCAGCATCCCAGTAGCTTGAACCAGAAGCGACTGAGCCATGCAAATACAGCATGACTGCAGCTCTGTTCAGTAACTCCTTCTCCACTAACATATCTTGTTGCTGGAACCACATGGCTCAAAGAGACACGCTGTCATTGCTGCATCTAACCAGCACTCATATCCTGTAAGTTTAAGCAGCACATGTGATTTTTTTTTTCTTTTCTTTCTATGAGAACTAGCCTTGCAATCTTTCAGGAAAGTAAAGCTTTGCATATTCCATGCTTCCTTCCCTTGCATTCAGCAAGGGCTCCCTGCAATTTTGCCCAGAACCCAAGTTCCACTTCCACAGAGAATTTAAAGCATTCCAGAAACATAAAGATAATTTCAATTTTACTTTAACACTTGCTTCTTCAAAAGCATTTTAAAAGAGAACAAAAACAGAAGACACACTAGGCTACTGTTAGGCTCCACCTGGGAAGAGAAGGCAGCTCCTGAGCTGCCTGATGCTGCAAAGAAAGGAACCATGATTTCTCTCTTCCCACATTGCCTCCTAACATGGTCCAGGAGCTCCAGGCCATCCTTCCACTGAAGCCAGATTAGAGGAGGCCAGAGCCATAGGAGCCAGTAATGTGCCCCTGTGGCCAAGAAAGCCAACGGTATCCTGGGGTGCATGAGGCAGAGTGTTGCCAGCAGGTCGAGGGAGGGGATCCTGCCCCTCTACTCAGCCCTGGGGAGGCCTCACCTGGAGTGCTGTGTCCTGTTCTGGGCTCCCCAGGACAAGAGAGACATGGCACTCCAGGAGAGAGTCCAGCGGAGGGCTACAAAGAGGATGAGGGGACTGGAGCATCTCTCCTCTGAAGAAAGGCTGCGAGAGCTGGACCTGTTCAGCCTGGAGAAGAGAAGACTGAGAGGCGATCTCATAAATGTGCACAAGTATCTGAAGGGGGAGTGTCAAGAGGATGGGGCCAGACTCTTCTCCGTGGTGCCTAGTGACAGGAAAAGAGGCAACAGGCACAAACTGAACCACAGGAAGTTCCATCTGAACCTGAGGACAAACTTCTTGACTGTGAGGGTGACAGAGCACTGGCATAGGTTGCCCAGAGAGGTTGGGGAGTCTCCTTCCCTGGAGATACTCAAAATGCACCTGGATGCGATCCTGTGCAACACGCTTTAGATGACGCTGCTTGAGCAGGGGGGTTGGACTAGATGATCTCCAGAGGTCCCTTCCAACCTAAACCATTCTGTGATCCTGTGAGCCCCTGTCAGAGATCAGAGCTCTCCAGACGGAGTGTCTCAAAGAGCAGGACAAAAAGGAGAAGAGGACAGATGGAAAAGGAAGGAAGAGTATTTAATAGAACACTAAGAAGCCAGGGCAATTACCGTTGATGATTCAAAGGAGATGGAAAACTGTGTGATAGCACATGGATATGAACAGACTACTTAGAAAAAGAGCCAATAAATGAAACGCCCAACAACCTGGTTAACAGAGAACTTAAGTTGTGTGTACCTCAGGCCCTTATAGGAAAAGCAAATGCATCTGCACTGGGCTCTTCAAAAGAATATGACATTATACAAAGCCACTTTAAAATACATCACAACCTCAATGCGTAGCACGATGGAGCCAGTGCTAGTACCAGGAAAGGACTCCTTGGGACCACAGCAAAACTTCAACAACAGAGAGGCAGGCGGCTGTACTTTCACCAGTTTATTTGCATGCACTCTGCCTGTACTCACCTAGTAACACAGAGCCACATATGACAGAGGAAATAATTTGAGTAAGTTGGCAGAGTTGGAAATGTCATGTGAGGAGCAAATGTATACTGAAGAACCAGACATCTCCCACAGAATCACAAAATATTTGGGGTTGAAAGGGACCTCTGGAGATCGTCTGGTCCAACCGCCTGACCAAGCAGGTTGCCCAGGACTGTGTCCAGTTGGATTTTCAGTATTTCCAAGGTTAGAGATTTCACAGCCTCTCTGGGCAACCTGTTGCAGCGTTCAATCACCCTCACAATGAAGTTTTTCTTATGTTCAGATGGAATTTTCTGTGCTTCAGTTTGTGCCCATTGCCTTTCACCCTGTCACTGGGCACCACTGAAAAGGGCCTGGCCCCATTCTCTTGACATCCTCACATCAGATATTTATAAACACTGCTAAGATCCCCATTAAACCTTCTCGCCAGGTTGAACAAGCTCAGCTCTCTCAGCCTCTCCTCATATGAGAGATGCTCCAGTCCCTTAATCATCTTCGTGGCCCCTCTCAGCTGAGCGCTGACTTGTGTTGGCTGGGCCAAGGAAGACGCAGAAAAGGGAAGTCTGTAGGTTGTTGTCCAAGGCATATAGAAGAGACATATAAGAACGTAATGGGCAAGAATGAAGTTGCTACATTTCACAAGCGTGAAGTGGTTTGTGCAAGGCAGACTCGGTGTTTAAAAATGGATAGGTCCCATACAGCGTGTTAGGCCTAAACACAAGATGTGTTTTAGCCATGGGAAGGTCCGGTTGTGAACATATGTTCTAAAGAATCTGCAAAGTTAACGTGTCACAGGCCTGATTCTTTCTGATATCTTGGAGCATGATTCAAAGAATGCAAAATTAAAGTAGAACAGAGGGGATGGCATATACTTCAACTTTGCAGTCCTTTTTGTCTCCACGAAAATAAGCTTATACGCATTTCACATCCTAAAAGGCAAGAAAGGAATAACCTTGCCACTAGGTTATCAAGCACTTTTTAATTAAAAAAGACTTAAATCGCTTCATCAGTTTAAAATGATCAAGCTTACAAATAGTACCAGAGCTCTAGACAGAGCAGTAAGATTGCAGTTGCTTTCTATTTGATAGGATGTGGAAGAGATGCAAACAAAACCACTGACATACATAACTAATAGGAAGCCAGTTTACAATGAAGGAGCAACTCCTAGTTCTGTCTTATCAAAGCGTAAGTCACCATGATTAAGCACAGTAAAATACCCAAGTCACAGCTGACCAAAAAAACAATACAACCACAAAATATTCCTTCTCTGTACGTTCTAGATTTGCTGTCTAAGCTGCCTACAGATGATATACCGCTGCTAGTTCTCCTAGCTAAGTCACTAAGACCTGGCAATACCCATTATACATTTGGGGATCTCAGATTTCAAGACTCCTTGGAATACCACATTACAAACTCCCATGTTCAGGTTGTAAATTACTTTCTCAAATTCCTTACTGTGAAACACACACTTAACTGCTTAGGTGAACATAAGAGTTATCAATTGTAGTTTAATTTAATAAAGTGTAATATCTACTTTCTTTTCAAACTAGACAGCATAAGCGATGATCCAGACAGCAAATAAACCTTTGTGTTAAGACCTCCTGACAGCACCATCCATGGAAAAAAAGGGTACACTAAATGAAAATATATTTCATAGAGGTAAATTGTGCATCTTCCTTAACACTCAGAAATCTACTTACCTTTCATCCCATTCATTTCTTTTCAACACTTCGAAGGATTGCCTCAAGATCATACGGATTAGCTGCAAAAAAAAAAAAAAAATTGTTACACGTGTTCATGAAAACAGATAAAAGAGCCACTGTAACTGTAATACGAATTTACTCCTTAAAGCTCTTCATAACACAAGATGGAAAGCTGCCTTACACGAATGTTTTGACAAACCTGTCTGTCACATCAGGCAGAGGGATGCTGTGAAGCTCAAAAGACAGCGGGCTATCATCATATCCCAAGTCAAGCAAAATCAACGACCACCTCTACTGTTCAGCTTTTTCCCCGCTCCCATCACCCCAATTTCTTCATTAAGTGCTCCCAAATCTACCAAAAAAATCACAATTTAAAGAAACTGGAAACAACAGCACCTGACAGATGATAACAATAACTGTTTGCCTAAGTGAACTAAAACTTTCACTAAGAGAGAAAACCATATATAAAATAGCTGTATTAAACTGATTCACAAAACACTTCACTTTTTGAAATATTTGGTTTCTGCTAACTTTGAGAAACAAAATACAGCAGTGAATGTACTTCCAATTAACTTCTTTTAAATAAAAAGACTAACTTGATTTTGTTATTTAAAAAGGCAGGTCTTCTATGAGTTGTCTCTCACCGGTTTTACTACCTTTTCTAATATAGTGTTTCCTATAGAAAGAATTCTGAAAGCGGAATGTACTACAGCGGTGAAACGTTTTGCTTCTACTGACAATTACTTTATATCAGAACTATCAAAAAGCCTGCACATAGTCTGAGCTAAACAACTGAAGTTGACGCAGTGCCCATGGTCACAGTATTTATACGCAACAAGAGCACTTAGGCATGAAATCTGCTTCTTTTCCAAGTTTTCTGTATGAAAATCAATGAGAAATATCACTATGGTATGAAGCAAGGCAAATAAAAAGCACCTGCAGCATGACATAAACCGTAATTAATTTTAGATTTGTGATGGTGAGTGAAAGTCTTTAAAGCAAGTATGTCTTTTGTTACAATATTCATAAACATAAGTACAGAAAAAACTGCCTTCCAGCCCACCACCACTATTTATACAAGAAAAGATCTCTAAAAGAGTTAGCATTACCATATAGTACTTATCAAGACGCAGACTGTCTATCCCATTCCATTCACGGTTCATAGTTTGCCAGAAGGTCTGAATGAACAGGTGTTCTATAAGAGAGAGAGGGGGAAAAAAAAAAAAAAAGTCATGACCAAATCTGCATGGCCAGCACAAAGGTTTCTTTTGCTAACCCAAAAGAATCTCAGGAAAACTTCAGCCTAGAAAAGAGCCACATTTCCCTAATGATTTGCCTAGGGACTGGGTTAGAGGCATGGGAAGACACGCTTGAGATAGTTGCAAGGACAGGTTAATTAAACCTCGGAACAACACAAGAAAAGGCACACAGCTACCTTCAAAAACAGGTGTAATTACAAGGACAGTTGTAATAACACAAATCACCAATACTAAGCTTTGTATATGTTTTGTATTAGATATCCACAAGGTAGAGCACCCCATCAATTCTGCACTGATTTCACCCGTGCCAGTTTTGACATTAATCAGGCGCTACATCTGAAGCACATTTTGGATACTAGGAGCTTAACACCTAAAGAAACAAGGTTGTTTTTGATTAGGAAGTAGACAGAACAAATAAATCTAGAATCTAGATCTAGACTGGGAAAGTAAGGGGACAAGTTCGCTTTGCTATCCACCCGGCAAAGTCTGAGCTCTATCATACTGCAGATGCAACCTTTACCCAGCAACAACCAGAAACAAACTGCGTCTGAACCAGAGCCTAGATGCTTCCTTTCATGCAACCACATGCATTGGTTCAACAATAAGAGAAGAAAAAAAGAAAGAATCACTCATATCTGTCTGTCTCCACTCTGGCACTGTGACAGCAGACTCAAAACCTCCAATCATACAAGTACATTGAGAAAAAACAGATAATGAAATAGTACTTACGAGCCTCTGTATTTTGAATCACATGGATAAGCTGTGAGATATTATTTGCTAGTTCCTCCTAAATGTAAATAAATGTAGTTAGTATAGCATGTGTCAGAGCTTGGTCTCCTCATTAAACATGCAACTAAAAACTAGCAAGAAGTATGACTATGAGGAAATATCCCCTAAAATTAAAAATAATCTCTGAACAATTGCTTTAGTACTGCAGCAATCCTTCCACTGGGATTAGGTTAGCTGGAAAAGAAGACTCAAGGGTATGAAGCCCTGTTCATTTATCTCTCCATAAATCATCTTTTTGATAGCAGAAAAAAAAAGTTAAGTGGAGAATAAGCCCATGTATTTGAATTTACAAATGATGTAAAACTTTAGGGGTGCTCTTTACATACAGCTTACTCATATGTGGAACGCTCTGTTGTTTTTATGAGATAAACCTTGTTCATGCAAACGGATAAGCAATTTGAAAACTGATCAAGTGCGGTTACTAAGATTTGTAAAAATTTTGTACTCCAGAACTGGTTATCTTTAGAAATAGGGTGACAAAGTGGGAGAGGAAGTAAAAGTTAGTAGTAAATGAAACACTACAAAACTCTTTGTACTGACAAAAGAAAATAAAATGAAAAACTTTCAAAGTAGGCTCACTAAAGGTTGAGCATATGTAGCAGGTGCAATTAAGGGCAACGTGTTATTGTTTCCATCCCACCAAATCAATGTGCAGGAGAACGTTTAGTTCAGCTCTGTTTTTGGAAGGTAAACACCCACCCCTTCCTTTGAAAGGCTGATTCCAAACACCATGCCATTTAGGCTTATGGTCCTGTGGTGAGGATCACTGAGTTACGCTCACCTCTGTCATGTATGCCACACATGAATGGCAGGAAAAAAAAAAAAACAAGCAAGACTCACTAAGGTCTTCTTCATCATTCTAAATTACTATGTCCTCACAGTATATTTTAGAAGAGACCCACTCAGGCAAATATAAAACCAATTATACCTGTAGCAGAGGTTTATCCTGCATCCACATACAGTAGAACAGTCCCTTCCATATTTTTAGCAGCTCTTCCTGGCTGAAGCCACCTACGGTGCAGAAGAAGTCTGAATAAAAAGAAAAATCCCACATTTCCGCCAACATATTTTCAAGCAGTTCTTTGTTTCCTGCTCTCCTCTTTGTTTTGTTTTACTCTCTTGACACGTGAGAAGGCTTGGAAGGCTACTTTGCATAGTTCAGTGATCCCATGCCTTTAAGCATCTATCTTGTATCGTAAGTAGTAAAGGTTTCAAAGAAATCACAGATGAGATGAACACTAGGCAATTCTGATAAATCCTTCTGCCAGCTCAGCCTTGTTTCCTCTGACATATCTTTAGCACCAAGTCAGAGAGTTATTTTTAATGAGGGCAACATATCTAGTTTTACAAGAGAGGCCATGTGCAACCCCAGGATAGTAACTGATTTAACAATGCCTCCCCCTCCCCTTTTTTTCCTTAAGTCTCACTTTACCACTAGTCTTCTTTTTTTTTTTTTTACACTAGGGGCGTCTTCTGACAATATAAAGCTTCTGACAGTCAACAAATTTCCTTCTTTATTAAATTAAGATAGATGATCAAAGAGTCTAAGCATCTGTAATGAAAATATTCTCATTACTGCTAGCCTTGAGGTACAGTATCACTTCAGTTTTATCAGCAAAGTTTTTTTTCAGTATTAACAATGTTAAGAATTCCATTCTTGTCAAAAATTGAGAAGGAAAGTTAGAAAAGGAAAATTGGAGAAGGAAAGAATTACATGGAAAATAGAGTTTTACTATCAAAAGTGGTTACTCAAGAATGTTTTGAAGACTAGAATATTAATGATGCCAAATACAGTTCTGAGAGGTAAAATTATAGCAGCATATAAAGTAGCTACAATAAACTACTAAAGCTATTTTCAAACAATGGCCTATTGAGTACTTTCAAGAAAATCACGTTAAAAAGAGTAGTCATCTTCAGTAAGCTGTAATTTGCTCCACGAAGATCACTGTCTCCTTGGAAAATTGTCCTAAGTCTGCCAAACAAAAAAAATGAGACCTAAGTCTAAATTGAGTATCTCCTCCTGGGATCAAATGATGTGCAAGCAATTACCATTACTTCATCATTCTGTACTCAGACAAAAAAAACTGTTAACCTATAGTGTTTTAAAACAGCTTACACATTTAGTTATAAACATTGGAAGTAAAACTGAGTAAAGGAAATAGGCAAAATGCTATATAGGAAGCAATATGTCCCGTAAGTATTAACTATAACATTACTAATAAATGTAAATTGAATTTAAGATCAAATATTAAGCGGTTTTGATTTATTGATCTACTATTTATTGAAATATGAAAATTAATAATATTTATTAACACCTATATGTGTGACACAGGTAGCAATAAGAGGAAGGCTTAACCTCATACACAGCATAACTCTATAGAGGCATCAGGCTCATGTCCAGAAGATGTCAGCTGCTCTCTATAAAGATGGCTGAAGAGGACTTCTTGTCTAAGGAACACAGACTTCCACATGGTCATTTTTTATACATTGAGGGCTTTTCTTTTTAAAGTTTCCTGGGCAGCCCTTTGTCCAATTGGCAAAGGACACTGATCTAATGTTCTAGAGTAAGTTTCTTATCCTAATCACTCAAAAAGTACTTTCAAGAGTGTATTTTCCATCTTCTGCGCCCTGTTGCCACCACCCACAACAGGCAAATGATCATCATTCAAGTGAGGCTAATTTATAACCTGAACCTACTATATTAGCAACCACACTGTGCAAAACCGAAGGCTCTCTTTAGTTCAAAGCTACCTTGAGAAAGATACTGGTTTTAAGGTGTGGATTGTAACTCCGCAACATTGCTGATGCAAGCCCTCACCCACTATAGATAGAGACAACCATCCCCTGAAGACACGCTTTGCTTTTGCAAGCCTTCTTATCCTTCTTGTTTGGGAAATATGCTATTTTGACACTGCTATAGTTAAAACTGCTGCAGTTTTTCCTACTCTAGATACAAGAGTCAGAGCTACAAAGGTTCATTTCAGTGGAAATGACATACTTAAATCCTTTACAGATCTAGGGCCAAGTAACCCTATTCTTATCAGACAGGAAAATATCTAATAATCCTTCCTATTGTATTAAAGCCTTTAAGTTACTACTCTCTCACCAGTTCATTTACTGATGTCTCTATAAAGATACAAGAAAATATGACCCTCCACTTATCAGCCCAGTACACTTTCTCTTTCAAGGTAAAGATTTTAAGAAGAATGAGTTAACAAGAAAAAAAAGGAACAGATTAAGTAATAATGTACTCATCCAGGTTCACCTGCACACACAATGGTTTCAGAGCTTCAGTAGCTTTATGCTTTCTACAGAATATAACTTTGTGTTTAAAAATCAAGAAGGCTTTAGCTCTTCAAAGAAGTTTCCACAACATGACCCATGATGCAAACTTAGCACAGACCATACGGGACAGACAGGAAGAATGCCTACCAAGGGCTATGCAACATTTCACTGAGGCGAATGTCACTGATAACTCCACCTGCTCCTTCAAAAGTTAACATGTTTTTGATTGTTCATGTTGATTTGGGAGCCTCCCCTCTGGCAGAGGGATGCATAGAAATAAATCTGCTAATTCAAATATTACTTTAAAAAAGCCTCTATCCTGAACATAAGGCTTCTTTCCCAAGTCCAAAGAAGTTAGCTACTGTTCTAATATTATTAGTTTGAATTGTACGTTAAAGCAAGTAAATTTAGAAGCACTGCAAATTAATCACCCTGGTTTCCTACTCATTTGCATTTCATGGTGGGTTGACTTTAACATGCAAAATGTTCACCTTGTAACAGACAATTTCCCTGTGGTGGTTTCCCAATGTGTTAGGGCATTAGCTTACACTGCAACCTTTTCCCTCAATTAGGATACCCTATAAAGGGACTCTCCTCACCACCTGGCAGGTAACTTTCACAAACTTACAGGAATCTGCACTTTGCAATGAGAGGCACAGAGCACTACCGAATACACAGAAACCACATCCAGCTTAGGAAGTTTCCAGAGCCAAAAATAGCTGGAGGGTCAGAAAACGCTTGGGAGGAATATAATGTACATTTTGCTTGTTCTTACTATTCCCTA